GCCCCACACAGATGCCATGGGGGTAGGAATGCAGACCCTGACCAGCAGCTACTCTTACCTGTCTCTTAGCCTTTGGGTTGAATGATACGGTATCAGTGTGTTCTCTTATACTTAAAAAAAAAAAAAAATCAAAAGGATATTCAACCCACTTGATGACTGTTGGCTAGTTTAGAAGTTTGCATGTCATGGTTCCTGCTTCATTGTGAGGTGTTTTAATGCCTTTAGAGCAGTGGTAAGTACCCAGTCTGACCGCTCACTATTAGCAGAGTCTGTGACCTGTCCCAGAAGAATAGTCTTGTGTTTACGGATCATATACTGACTGACCATTGATAGGGGTTTCCAAGTTGTGTCTTGTGAGAAGAATCTCTGAGAGCCTGTATAGGCCTGTGGGAGTTTTTAAGGCGGTGACTGCATTTGGGTAGGCTCTTAGCTTCCTGTAGCCTACCTCTGTCCTGCTACAGCACCCACAGGGGGGAGCCTGGACCATTTACCATGCCTGTTGCTAGGTAGGTGACAAAGAGGGAGTTCTGAGAGATTGCAAAAGAAACCCCAGGAACACGTTCAACCCTGACAGTGAGTACACAGTCCTCTGACCTTACACAGGAATAGTGACCGCATCTGTCTCCAAGCCATGAACTCTTACTGCTACTCTGGAAGTCTCTGCAGCACCTTGTTATCACTTTTGTTTTACCCTGGGCTGTGGGCCAGGACTGGAGGATTCATTCTTCTGTTTGGTTAGTTGTGAGAAGGTGAAAGTTGGAATTAGAGGAGCAGAGGCCCCTGGCAACCTTACGGAGTTCTTTTACTTACTAGCTGTGAGGCCTTAGGCTTTGCCGAGCCTCAGAAAATCATCAGTGTCTGAAAAAAATGCCAGAAAGTCATCTGGAAATGGTAATCCTAATAGCTCCTCTTCCTTATCGGGTGGTCATGAAGATTAAATGATAATCCCATAAAGTATTAACTCTAGGTTCTAGCATAAAATAGTGCTTAATAAGTACTAGTTATCATTGGTAAAAGTATCATTGGTAAAAGTACTTAATAAGTACTAGATATCATTTGTCTTTGAAAGCGGAAAGGAGATATCCTCATTGATGCCTCATGTTGCAAAAATGTAACATTTTGTAAGTCTTTGGCAATGTCTTAAAAGATTTCATGATGTAACTGTGATGCCTGGAAAATTTTTTCTTAAGCAGTCAGAATCTGTCATTTAGTAACCACATGTTGGGTACCTACTACATGTAAGCAGGTGGCCAGGCACAGAAGGATTACAAAGAAAAAGAGATGGCCTTTGCCTTCTTAATGTTGTACGAGTTAGCCGTGAGTATATTTTAAATAGGCTATAGCTAACCTAAGTTTCTGGTATCATCAGTGCTTTAAGCCAACTGCATATATTCTATTACAGATAAAAATCATTATAATTAACTCTTATTTTTAAAACAAGGCCACGTCTAAGTGCCATACTTGAGAATTTTTATTCTAGCCTCCTGCCTCTTGCTGCTGGTTGTCAACTTACCTCCCCCAACTCGTGTTACCAGTTGTCAATTTACACCCCTCACACATACACCCCAATTACTAGGTTATTATAAAGCATTTATATATCGTTGTGTGAAAAATGATTTCTTAAATTTTTTCAAGATAATTACTTGGAAAACAGATTGTGTTTTCATGTGAAACAGCTTAATGCTCTAATTAGTTTATTTAGCTTAGAAACTTGGTCTAGTACAGTGGCTCTTTACTTGGCCAGACTCTTTTTATGGGTAGCCTTACTATTGATTTCTTACTTTTTTTTTTTTAATTTAGCAAATCCATACTACTCTTCAGTTTTTGTTTTTTGTTTTTTTTTTTAGCGTATTATGGGGGTACAAGTGTTAAGGTTATATATATTTCCCATGCCCCCCCCTTTTTTTAGAAAAGCTCATTTAAACTAAATACCCCCCATAATCTAGTGTATAATATATGGAAAGTCAAGTTCATCATCATCTCATCTTACCTGTTCCTTGCTCTTTCAGTTTCTCAGCCCCTGGGGTGTTAGAGCAGGGATTGACTTCATCACCGGATACTTCTCTCCACCACAGCCCCTCTTTTAGCAGAGGAGGAAACTGAGGCGGGGAGAGGTTAGGGGCCTTGACCACCATCCCACCTCCACCACCGTGTGGCTGAGTCCTGGTGACCCTCTCCCTGGCTGGTAGTATTTCTCTTTCCTTTGACCACCTTTCTAAGCTGTCACCAATTCCTGTTACTGTTGTCTCAAAATGTCTCTTGGTTTCCTCCTTCCCCATTTCTTCCTGTCTGATCAGTCCCTCAACACCTCCCAGTGGCAAAGGCCTGGCAGAGAACTTTGTCTCTGAGGCATCCATTATACCAGACTGGTTTTCTCTAGTCACCACTGTCAGCATGTCACTCCTCTTCTGTGAGGCTGCCAGGACCTCCCTGCTTCCGGTGGCAACGCAGACGCACACTCCTCCTTGTGTTCGCGGCTCTCCTTCGCTTTGTGTGCCTGGCGTCAATGCTGTCTTCTCCCCCAGGAGCACCAAGGGCTCACTGTCCTCTCTGGCTTTTCCCCACGAGTCGGCCATGTTTCTTTCATGCCTTTAGCTCGTCCTGCTCCCCAGCTTCCAGTTCTCTTCCTGCCTTTCCGCCTACACCAGGCCCTTCAATAATGTCTCGTTCAGCATCCTTCCATTGTAACACTGATGACAACAAAAATGGCTTCCCGGCCGGGGCCACTGTCTGTGTGGAGGGTGCAGGCTCTCCCCGTGTCTGCGTGGGTTTCCTCCCACGTCCCCAAGCTGTGCCTGTTAGGTTTGTTGTCTGAGAGGCCCCCATGTGAGTGGGGGTGGGGATGAGTGCGCCCTGTCATGGGATGGGCCCCAGCCACTTGTGACTCTGGACTGGAATAAGTGGGTGAATAATTATCTTACTTGTTTTCATTAATCTTTCAAATATATGTGTATAGCTTAATTTATGTTTAGTATTAGAAGTGTTTTGGTCTTTAGAAGCTTGATGTTTCTGTGACCAGAGATATGCCATAGGGACATAACTCTTGTTCATATTAATTGGCCTATGGTAAAATTGGTTTCGTTATAGTCATTTTGTTTAAAATCACAGTTTCCAAGAACCTATCAACCACTTTAAGTGAGGACTCACCGTACTCCCTTCTGCTATGCCAAGTCCAGGTTCTACTGCTTTTCAGTGTTTTCTCTGATTATTGCAGTGAGAACCCGCTGATCCCTTTTATTCCCACACTTTTTCTTATATCCTACCACTTAGCATTGGACATAATACCCTCTCTAGTATGCTCTGGATTTTTCTTGAGATTGCACTGCCTTCTCAGTTATATTTAATGCTCCTTGAAGGCAGGACTTAGTTTATATTTTTCTCATATACAGTAGTTCCCCTTATCCATAGGGGAGACCCCCTACCCTGAATGCCTCAAACTGCAGATAACACTGAAAGCTATATATACTATTAATGTTTTTTTCCTACAGATACATACCTGTGATAGGGTTTAATTTATAACTTAGACACAGTAAGCGATTAACAACAATAATAAAATAGAAAAATTGTAACAATGTACTATAATAAAATTTATGTGAATGTGGTATCTCTCTCCTTCTCTCTTTCTCTCGCTCAAAATATCTTCTTGTACTGTCCTCACCCTTCCTGTGATGAAGAAGGGATGGAGTGGGATGGCATGAGATTTCATCACGCTGCTCAGAATGACATGCAATGTAACACTTATGAATTGTTTATTTTTGAAATTTTCCATTTAATATTTTCAGACTGCAGTTGACCTTGGGTAACAAACTGTGGAAAGTGAAACCTCCGATAAGGGGGGACCACTATATTCCATTTTTTATAGTGCCTAATAAGTGGTCAGTAATTACTGCTTATTAGGGACTTCAAGCTTTTAAAAGATGTTGTCCAGAGCTATGAGCGGTTCAGACATCTGACAGACAGCATTTGCAGCTTGGATCAGGATCAGTTGTTCATATTACAGCACAGTGTTCTGTCTTCTAAGTGTTGTTGGGATCAATTGCTTTGTGTTAATGATCCTCTGGGGGATTGTCTATATAGGTTTGGTGCTCACACTGACAATTTGCCCTGGGGATCAGTGGCTGGGTGACAGGGAGTTGGGGAGCTCCCCTCCTGAGAACTGCATACCTGCCTTTCAGATCTTACAGTAGATAATAGAATGGATTACTCAAGAATGGATAGGAATAGCATTATCCTCATAACTCTGGCAGAGTCTCGGCACACCAGTGCAAAATGTAAACTGGCCTGTCTCCTTTTTCACTGTGTGTCCTTGAGCTAGTAATGACCTTGGTGCTTTCTTTTCTACAATCCTGGCACAGTATCCTGAGATTTAATCTGATCTTTGTCTAAAATATTTTTTTCAAACCCAGTAAGTATTGTATCTTCCCAAAAAGGTAAGTGTGTTGAAATAAGTTCCTGGTATTGGAAAAAGGAGAATTATTTAAAGAAGACTCTCTCTGCTTTCAGAATTTCTTATGTTGCTTTTCCATGCCTGCCTTGTTTTCATGGCAGTCATTCCTACATTGAGGCAACTACAGATTTCATAGTACTTTGGATTGTTGGCTTCCCAAGGCACGCTCCCTACGAGAATTGCCTCTGCTAAAGGCTCATAAACTTGGAATTATTTTTTCTTTTATGTCAGCAAGACTAATTCCACCCATACAAAATGGTTTGGCCATTTCCCTCTTTGGCACAAAAGAGAATTGGCAGAGACTGAGATGAAGGTGAAGTCGAAAATGCTCTGTCATTGTAGGAAATTCATTGACCCTAGGCTTTTATTCCCCTTGTTAACCTCACGTTCTGAATCCTTGTCCCACTCAGAAAGTCTTCTTTTCCCACCTACAGAAGCTTCAGATCTTTCTCGAGTTATCTCCAACACACACTGTGAAATACTACGTGACTTCATTTACAGAAAGTTACCCAACTGGAATCACTTTGAGTTGGTTTTTTTTTTTTTTCAATAGGTGGATGGAAGTCTGCTTAGTAGAAGAATTGCCACCAACCACTGAACTGGAAGAAGGGCTCCGGAATGGAGTTTACCTTGCAAAGTTAGCCAAGTTCTTTGCCCCGAAAATGGTATCAGAGAAAAAGATCTATGATGTGGAACAAACACGTTATAAGGTAACCAAGATCTAATTGGTTTTGGCTTCCAGCTAAAAGTGAAAGTTTGGTATTTCATTTCCTCTCCGTTCTTTTACTCTTAGCATTTCTGTAAGGATATTGTGCGAGAGGGGATGTCCTTGGTCTTTGGAGCCTGTTAGTAATCATTCCTGAGGCAGCAGCAGTTTTAAAAAGCAAAAGTGTTTCTATTTCTGGGCTGAAGCTGAAAGACCTCTGGTTTGTTCCCTCCCCCGCCCCCCCAAATCCCTTCATGGAAGTCGTTTGTGACTTTATTAGTGCCGATAAGAGTAAAAGTGGAGGCGCAGTACCCCTCCTTTTTTACCACCAACAAGGCTCATTACTCCCCATATTCTCATCAGTGAGTAGAGTACTCAGCTGGGACTTGAACTTGTGGCCCTAAAGAGTTAGGGCCAATGTGATAAAACTAATAGTAATGTTGATCAGTTAAGAATACTTTTCCATGTGGTGTTTAAAACAAAATAAGACTATACAACCAGTTTTAAGAATTGTTTCATGGCTAATTTGGAAGGACCAAGAAATACAAAGGGCTGTCCTCATAGCCCTTTTAGAAAGAACAAACCCACCGTTATTTCAATTGTAAGAAGCAAAGGGAAGAAAACAAGGTCAAAATAAACACCAATCTTAGAGTAATAAAAACCTTGATCTTTTAGAGATACATATCAAAGTATTGTATGTACGAATAAAATGATACATCTAGGATTTGCTTCAAAATAATTAGAGGGAGGGTGGATAAATGATACAAAACTGGCCATGAGTGCACAATCATTGAGGTTGGATAATGGGTATATGGGAGTTCATTATACTATTCTGTCTACCTTTTTACATTTGAAGATTTCCATTAAAAAGCAAGAGAAAAAAGTAAACACCAACCTAAGAGGCTTCTCCATTGAAGAAGTATCTTCAAAAGGGAGTTTTAAAATGTCTGATGTTGTGTTCTGGAACATGTGACCTCTTATCTCTATGGGTCAAGGTTTCTGAAGCTTCTTGGAAATTTGATTTTTTATTTTCTTAATATATTTAGTTCTTGATATCAATATTTTCTATCTGTAGATTTTCAAGTACCCTTAAAAGTATTCTCTTACAAATAAAGTTACTATATAATTGCAAGGACAGTATTGAGTATAGTTGAAAATGGAATGATTTCCCATTTATTGCATGATTCACACTACCTTTCAGTCCTTTAAACAAAATGCATTTTAAAAATATGTGTATTGAATTTATGTCATGATTGAGTAATCATTAAGGTAACTGTAGACAAGATCACCTGACAGATCTCTTTTAAGTCTGTTTTCCTAACCAAAAAGGTAGCTGAGCAAAAGTTTTTGCCTTGAATAATGTTATGAATAAAAGTGTTTGCATTTGTTAAAGTAAGTTTGAGTTTATGAAGGCATGTGTTTCACCCCAGAGACCCAGCTCATCATGGCCTTTCAAAAGACTTTCATAGAACAATGACTTAGCTAAAATTAAAATTTTAAAAGACTTTTTGAGAAATATTTTTAGAAATTTAGACAAGCACAGAAAAAAAGCATCCATATCCCTCCTCCCCTAAACAAACATTTGCCCACATTTTAGACTATGGCTTATTTTTTTCCCATTGCTTTTATTATGGTTATTATGAAGATCTAGATTGGTTAGTACTAACATGCATGTAGATGTGATCGTAGGGTTAAAGTACGATTGGGCTAGATCCAGGCTGCCCTGAAACGAGATCGTGGGTAATTTCTCTTGGCTTTGTGGACTGTGAGAGTCTGGCTGGAAAGGTAGGCACTTCTGGAAGGTGAGACTCAGAGCCGAGTGTGGGTTAGCTCTTGTTTCTTCTTGGCACTTCATATGCCTTGAATATAGGTGTCTCCTTCCAGATCAGCTCTTGCCTCTCATGGCAGTTGCCTCCTGGCAGCGCTCACAGGTCCCTTCTCCTCCTCCTGGCATCAGAAATCCTACTGTTTAAACGAACAGCAGCTGGTCTTTGCGATGGGCACAGGGGAAATAACATTTCCAGTCTCTTGTTATGAAATAAAATACCCACAGGGCCTAGATAGGTGATGACATTCCTGAAGGAAACATGACAGGAGAGGGAAGTGTTCTGTTTGCTGCCCTGTTGGGCCCCTGGAAGGCTGGGTGGCGCAGGAGTGACGCTGGCAGAGGGGCGGGAAGAAGGGAGGCAGCAGGAGGGAGGTGCTGCTGGCCCCTGCCTGGGGGTTCCCCTCCCCCATGCTGCTGAGCCGAAAGAAAACTTGGAAACAACCCCTCCAGATTCATTGGAGAGAGAGGTTTTTCTTTTTTCCTTAAATCCCTGAAAGTGCCTAGTGTTCTCGATGGAAATTTTTAGTGATTTGCCAAGTAATCATAAAGTTTTATTTTAGGGCCTTCTCATTTCTGTACAAAAATGAAAGGAGACAAATATGAGTGAACAGGCGACTCAACTTCCTGTTCTGTTCTTCAGAACTGAAGCCCGTCACGTGGTCCTTTCGAAGGAGCACTAAATCACGGGCTGAGGCAGAGATGCCGAATGAAGCACAAGGGAACACTCGCTCACCCGGGCCCGGCCCCTCATGTGCCATCTGGAAACCATGAATTCAGTGAACTTGGGCTCTCGCTGCAGGGTCTGCCTAGACTGCAGCCATGAAATATGACCTGCCTGTTAGGCACAGGGTCCCCAGGGCAAGGCTGATCCCTGAAGGACTCAGTGTTGGCACCAACAGCTTTGACAGCCATCAGTTAGGCAGACAAGGGCTTTCATGCTGCCCCGTTATCTTTGCCTGCCAGCTTATGTACAACCATGGTCCCTCATTCACTTAGGGTTAGAAAGACGTCCTAAGTGTGAGAGTTAAACCTTCCAAGGTCTGAGTTACGTGACCATGCCACGTGTGCTGTGGCACCTGACACTCTCTTGGACATGCCATAGCATGTTGTAAAGAAGGCAGGGACCGCATATGCCTGGCCTGCCCTGTCCCCAGTGAGTGGCTCAGGGGCTGGTCCATAGTAGGTGATTGGGGAAAGGGCTGTTGGATGAAGGAATGAATGACAGTAGTATCATATAAGCCAAAGTACTCCATTCCTTTCTTTTATGCTTTGTGCTTAGAGTGTGATCCACTTCCTCTAAGTATGATGCTCAAACCTCCTGCAGAACCCCCTGATGGGTGTGTGTAGAAATTGGATTCCTGGGTCCCACTCTAGACTGTTGAGTCAGGTAGACTCTCTTGACCTGAGACTCAGCAAGCTATGTTCTTAATAAATTACCTGCAGATGGTTCTTTTCTTAGATACTTATAAGGTTTAGGAACTGTTGATCTAATACACAGATAAACATTAATATAATACATTATAATAAAGTTGTAGGGAAATAAAAAGTTGTGCCACGATGGAAATATAGAGAAAGTAGAGTTCATTCACCCATGCAACACTTATCGACACCTTGCGTGCCAGGCACGGTTCTGGGCACTAACGGCAGAGTAGTGAGCAGAGCAGACACTGGCCTAGTTTCATGACACTTACAGGGAGAGACAGATTGTAAGTAAACCTGCAGCTGTGAGTAGTGATAAGCATCTGAAGGAAACGGAAGCCGGTGTTATAGAGAGACAGCAACAGGCAGGAGATGGGCTTCTCTGAGGAGAGGTTTGTTCTGAAGCTGGAAGATTGGGAAGAAAGTCATCCATGTGCAAGTCAGGGCTGGGTGATGGGAAGAACAGTCCAAAAAAGAGGTTGGCCACAGCAGAGTGGCTGAAAGGCTGCAGAGAGGGACAGCAGTGGGAGACGAGGCCAGGATGGGGGCAGAGATGAGGGCTGTGTGGCCATATGGGCTCCGCGGAGACCCTGTGATTTCATCCTAAGTGCAGGCAGCAGCCAATGAAGCCGTAAACAGAGACGTCACGATGCGACATGGTGCAGTTTGCGCTTTAGAAAGATTAGTTACTGCTATGTGGGGAATAAATAGGAGGGAGGATGAGGGTGGAGACAGGGGCCCGGTGAGGGGTAATTCAGGCCAGGTGACAGGTGGCAGTGGCCTGCACAGACAAGAAGTGAATGGCTTCAAGCAGGAAAACAGAGGGTGGATCCTGGAAGGGAGCTGGCAGTGGACGGATGGCCATGAGAGGAAGACAGCTGGGTGGACAGTGGGGGATGACAGCGGGGAAGGAGCCATCCTGTCCATTCTGAAGGGACTGCGGGATGGTTAAGGGCCAGGAGGGTTTGCATGGCGTGGGCTTGAGAGATTAGAGGGTGTTCCTGAGCAGACTGGGATGGGAGAGAGAGAAGAGGAGGAAGGACTTGCATTCCTTGGAGAAAACGCAGCCTGACTAGGCTCGAAGATAAAGAATGGCGTCCCGGACAGCACCTTGATAATTGCAGGCTTACAAGAAATGCTCTTGAATATTTAGGTGTTACTCAGATAGGGAAGGCACATGCATAGTGGTTAGCAGAGTGAGCTATAGAATCAAAATCCTTCAGAGTCTGGCTTCACCACTAACTTTTCCTCTCTGAGCCTGTTTCCTCAGCTGTAAATTGGGAATACACATTGAGTATCCCTGATCATCTAAAACTCCAAAGTGCTCCAAAATCTGAAACTGTTTGAGTGCTGACACAATGTGCAGAGGAAATGCTCATTGGAGCATTTTGGGTTTCAGATCTTCAGAATAGGGCTGCTTAACTGGTAGGCATAATGCAGATACTGCAAAATTGGAAAAACTCCAAAGTCCAAAACACTTATGGTCCCAAGCATTTCAGATAAGGGATACTCAGCCTAATAACAGTACCTGCCTTTGTTGAGATGTTGTGAGGAAGAAATGTGACCGTCCGTGCAAGGCACTTGGCACAGTGCCTGACAGATGTAAGCAGCCAGAGAGTGTAAACTCGGTGGGTGTCCTGAGGAACCTGAACAGTGAGATGAACGTAATATTTGGACTTGGAGTCGGGGGATCTGCAAGGGAGTCTTAACCCTGAACCTGACAAGTTAGGTCAACTCAAGTGTCTTACAAACTTGTGCCGTCAATTTCCTCATCTGTCAAATAAGCAAATTAGGGATAATTAGTGATTTCTAAGCTACCTCATTGTTTGAAATGTTCTGCTTCTGATAGGGAGGAAGTTAGCATCCAAAGAAGAAAATTCCCCAGCTCTGAAATTTAAAGTAGATGAATGAACCTGTTTGCTGGTGTTATAACAGCTCAGCAGTGGGAAATTAGCATATACTTTCTGGTTCTATACCTGAAAGAAATTAGGTAGATGGACCAAAGCAACCCTTGGCTAAATCTGACTGTAGATAGTCACCAGGTATAATATAAATATATACGACTGGCAGAAAAAAACTTAATAAAAATGATAATGGACTGAGAATATTTTCTGCCTGTTTTGAATACCATTGTCATTCTAATTGAAGCAAATTCAGTAGACTGAAGATGTTATTGCTGCAATTCCCTCCCCAAAGTGTACTTCTTAAATATGCAAACCTGAACCATAGGCTTCTGAAGTCAGCGTTTCTCAGGTGTTTGAAATGGATGAAGGATTTGAAATCTGTCATTTATTGTATAAATATGACCAAGGTTACCATTTTTTTCTTTAGTGCCTCTTAACATGAAGTAGTAAACCTTTTTCTGACATTGAAAATGATAAAAGTTTCACACTCATTCTTGTAGTGCAATAATAGCTAACGCTTATGGCATTCTTAGGTGTACTCTGCAACTAAATACTTTCTGTTTGTTCTCAATTTAATTCAGTAACTCAAAGGAGCATTTTATGGCTGAGGAACCAAGGTTCAGAGAAATTTGTGACTGTACTGAGATTATTATACTTAGCTAACACCACCAGTAAATAGAAGGGTGTGTGTCTTTGTTACATAATTTGGGATTGTTGAAGACCACCAGCCAAAGACCCCAGAAATCCACCTGGGGATCCACCTTGGCCAAACAAAATTAAGTTGATTTAACTTGTTGGGGTAATAAAAAAGGCAAATGCGTGGAGCCACAGGGAGAAGCAAGGGGCTTAGTGTAGATTTGGACTTGTTCTGGGTGATTCTATTAGTAAGGATTTAGGAAATCAAAGACCAGGTTTCTTTTAGGTGTTGCCAGGAAGCAGGATCAATTTGGTGTCTTGGTAATATTCATCTAGGAAGTGGGAAGATTGGGGACTAGATTGTCATTAGTAAAGAAACTAGAGTAGATCATATTCATTGGAAGAGGAGGATATTTAATTATTTGGTGGTGCAGAGAGTCCTCATCTTTGCCATGGTTTAAGCTTAACTGCAAGTTGTTTCTGTCCTGTTCATCCATGGCAGAGTGGCCTTGTCTGAGATTTGTTTGTGTCAAGCAGGAGAAATTTATCCTGAGTTACAAACACTCAAGCACTGTGGTCTAGGTGTTAACTCTCTGGGCTCTTATTCTTTCTGTTTACTCCTTTTCCTCCTTCCTTTCTTTCCACTCTCCCTTCCTCTAGCTATTTCATAACAACAAAGCTAATTTTTTCTTTCCCTAAAATAGTCAAAGGTTGTTAGGTCCTGTGTTCTTCTCTGTGGGAGCATTAGCATAGAGAGGGTTTTCAGATCCAGGGAGACCTAATCTTGAATCCTAGCTCGGCCACTTAACAGCTGTTTGACTTTGGACAAATCATTTCATCTTTTTGGTCTAGCTGTCCTATCCTTAAAAACTAGGAGTGATAATTACCTTGCAGAGTATTTTGGAAATTATAGATAACCTACATAACGTACTTGAAACACAGTCCAGTCACAAATAGTGGCCACCATTAAAAAGGCCTAAACATTTGTCAAATGTTGATATGCTTATACTTTATAATTTCTAACAGCCGTGAAAATACCTTTTATGTAATAAACTATTAGATTGTAGAAGGTCACAGAAGGTGGTCTTCTGTGACCCACCCTACAGAAGAATGAGACTTTCTGAATTCTTATCAACCATTGGATGTTAGTTATATGATGAACTTTGCTACCATTACTTTTTTGTACGTTTATGCAAAAAGAAAAAAGATAACATTGTGCTATACATTTAATTAATAAAAAGTATAAGATTATTTTAAAGCTCTTTGGTTCATTACCTGATACATCTTCATGAGGTACAAGCAAGAGAATGCTATCCTTACAGACTGCGAAAGAAGTTCGCAGTCTGTATCTAGTTCTAGTCTGTATCTAGTATCTACCTAGTTTGGAATACAGGGAAGAAATGGAAGGTGTGGACTATTTTTATTATACAGGTAAGAAAAGATCTCATAAAACATTTCTGCTGAAGGTTTACTTTTATACAAGGCCAAAATTAGGGTTAAATTATAAGAAGAGAGTATATTCAAATTAGCTCTGAATTGTGGGGTGATTTGTTTCCATCTTTGTATTTTGCTACATTTTCCAGGTTTTCTACAGAAATATTACATTATAAGAAAAGAAAAGCATTTAGTCTTCTAAAAATTCTTTCTTCTGAAATTGCTAGGCTTCTTGGCCATGGTTACCAAAACCTTGACACTGTGCACACACACCCACGCACATGTACACGTGTCTCATAAAACATCCTTGGGCGTGTTAGACAGTAAATGGTTGTTGAGCTTCTAGTTCAGAATTTACTTCAAATGTGTGAATTATGGAAGCTGTCATGGTCCATCACAGATGGTTGGGATGTTGCCAAGATACGGTTCAGTCTCCTTTATCGTGTCGTTATATTTGCTTTGTGTGAGCATTAATAACTCTGTTCTAGAAGCACAATTGAAAAGCATCCTGCTAATGAAGAAATTTGTTACAAACGACTCACTTTTTGTGTGGTTCCTTCTTTCCCTTTTCTCCCTCCCATCCTCACGTTAGAAGTCTGGCCTTCATTTCCGACACACAGATAATACGGTCCAGTGGTTGAGAGCCATGGAGTCTATTGGACTACCCAAGGTAAGCCTTCACGTATGGGATCCTGAAAAGCAAAGGGGTAATGCACACACACCTTGTTATGGAAAATGATTTGGCAGATTGGAGTATGTTAGCACAGGAATGAGAAATGTGAGCACTAAACAAAAATATGGAAAGGCCTATACAAAGTAATATATGGCAAGAACTCAGAATGCAGTACGTGCAAGATTGAGAATCTGTGCACATAAATTAGAGTGTGTGTAAATTAAAAAGTATGTACAAATTAAATAGAATGAGAACAAGCTTTAGCTAGTAGATGATTGATTTAAAATAGCCAACTTTCTTTTTTATGTTGCTAGTAATATTTGTACTTAGATTCTAAGTCTTATCACTATATATCACTATAAATTATTATAATTGTTTTATTTCAGCATATTATGGGGGTACAAATGTTTATATATATTGCCTTTGCCCCACCCGAGTCAGAGCTTCAAGCATGTCCACCTCCCAAAATTCTTATAAATTATTATAAGTCATGGTGTCATTTTAAATTTTAAAGGCCTAGTGGGTTACAGCTTTGAATCCTGAAATAGCTCTCCCAAATAACATTCATTTAGCAGACATTCAGTGCTTGTTAAATGTGAAGAGTACGCACGCTAAAGCATGTGAGAGAATTAGACATGTGGGGGAAATGAGGAAATAATTATATTTGATAAAACTTGTAGAACTATTTTTTAACCTCTTATTTTGAAATAATTATAGAATCACAGGAAGTTGCAAAAATAGTACATCTATGTGTGTCCTTCATTCAGCTTCCTCCACTGGTAAGAGTTTATAACTGTAGTACAATATTAAATTGACACTGGCGAATTAACATAAACTAGACTGCAAACCTTATTTGGTTTTACCATTTTTACACGCATTTGAGTGAGTGTTTGCACACGCACCATTCTGTGCAGTTTATCCTGTGGCTAAATTTGCATAACCATCACCACAGTCAAGAAACAGACACCAGAGAGGAGGAGGAGGCCTTTAGAATGCTTCCCTGTCCCCTGGCAACCACTAATATGTTCTCCGTCTCTGTAGTTTCGTCATTTTGAGAATGACATATAAATGGAGTCATGTAGTTGGTAACCTTTCCGGATTGATTTTTTTCCACTGTGCATATTGTCCTTGAGATCAATCAGGTTTTCATATGTATCCATCGTTTACTCTTTTGTATTGCTTAGTATGTTCAGCTATTTTAAAGAAATTATTTAAGAGTGGTCCAGCTTGGGGGCAAGGGGAGAAGCTACTGATGTATGAAGTCCTTTGGTGGTGGTGGTATTATTAAGCTGGGTTTGCAATTAACACCCACCCCTACACAAATAAAAGTTTCCTTAATGTAAATTATGGATGCCTATTTTTAATTGTGCTCACATCTGTTTTAGCTTAGTTTCATTTTATCTCATGATCAATATTTGATTTATTTAGTTCTGCCATTTGTAATCAGACTACTTTCCCTTCTCCCTAAATGCCAGAGCATTAGATACTATTCCCTTCTTGGCATTAGTTGTAATACAGAATTCATATTTCTGGATTGTGATTTAGTAAATACTAACTAGGGACTGAATAGTAAACAGATGGATTAAAAGAATTCAAACAGGATTTTTCTGCAGGAGACAACATCAGATTAGGATAATTTCATTGCCTGTTAGATTTTATGTAAACGTTTTAAATTGTCTGTTGTGGGCCAAAGAAGTGATCTTATAAATCAGATTCTATTTTAACACTGAATTTTACTATGACGTCATTAATATGGTGCTTTGCTGGAGTGAGAGACTAACAGTCTACTGAATTGACTGATGCATTTGATTGGCATTCCTTCATTTATCAACATTGAGTACTTACTCTGCTGAGCACCATGCTAGGTACTGGAAATACGGTGCTGAATAAAACATTCTGGGGAACTATGAATTGATCCCATCTCCTTGCTAAAGGAAGACACATTCACAGTGATTTTCCAGGAAAAATATAAAAGGTTCTTCTTGAAAGAAAAAGGAGGAGGGAGCTATAGTTGTTCCCTGCTTATGTAGAAGAACTTTAAGCCTGGTAACACTTCTGAATTTGGGAATCCTCTTCTCACTGATGCTTTAAAAGCAAATGTGGGCCGGGCATGGTGGCTCACACCTGTAATCCTAGCACTCTGGGAGGCCGAGGCAGGCGGATCGCTCAAGGTCAGGAGTTCGAAACCAGCCTGAGCAAAAGGGAGACCTTGTCTCTACTAAAATTAGAAATAAATTAATTGGCCAACTAAAAATATATAGAAAAAATTAGCCAGGCATGGTGGTGCATGTCTGTAGTCCCAGCTATTCGGGAGGCTGAGACAGGAGTTTGAAGTTGCTGTGAGCTAGGCTGATGCCACGGCACTCTAGCCCAGGTAACAAAGTGAGACTCTGTCTCAAAAAACAAAAAAACCCAAATTTGTTAAAGGAAAGGTGGAAAGGCTTTTGAAATTTCCTAGGCTAGAGACATTTCTTTAAATGCTCAGTGACTGTACATTTTGTAGCTCAAGAAACTTTGCTTCTTTTTCTCTCTGCTTTTTTCAACATCCTATAGAAAATTGCACTTGAGTACCAAGTACTACCATATGGTACATGATTTAATTTTAGTTTTTACATCAAATTTTATAAAATATTTACTGAAAGCAAGTAATGTCAACATGCTTATCTTGATATTATATTAGAAGCTTCAAGCTTGATTACTCTTTTTTTGTGCTTAGGAACAGAGAAGTTTTCTGCGCTACTCTGAAACCTGTTTTTTATCAGGCTTTTAGTTTCAAGCTTAAGAAGAGTGTGAAAGTGTATTAAAAGCTTTAATGTTCAGACCATTCAATCTAGTAACTCCATATTTAGGTGATTAACCAAAAGAAGTATTCAGGTGCTTAGAAAATGTAATGTTCATTGCAGTGGCTTACAATAGTGAAAACATTAGGGGCAAAGCAATGTTCAACCTTGGGTAACTGGTTAAGCTATGGTTCTAAAATATGAAAGAATCATGTGCATCTATTAGAAACAATCTTATAAGAATACTGAAGGAAATTGGAAATAGTTACATTCTATTAAGTGTTAAATAAGTTTACACCAAGTACAATTGTATTTTCACATGCACACATTCATAGGCATAAAAAATCCGGGACATATGCAGAAAAGAAAGACCAGAAAAAATAAACCAAATGCTCATGGTGACAGTCTGGAAGGTGGGACCATAGGTGTTCTTCCTTCATACTTTGTATACTTGCCTGATTTTATTCAGTGAAATATATTATCTTAAGCGAATGAAAAATCTGTGTGTGTGTATTGTGTATTTGCATCCATATATCTTTATGGAACGGTGTAGTCAAGTTTTTAGCAATTTAATAAAATGGCTTTAAGAAGGCCACCCTTCTCAGGCCCACGGAACCCTCGGAGTGAGAGGGTACGGAAGGCAGAGTCTACGAAGGCTCATGCATCGTGAAATAAAACATTGCTGCCCAGCACTGTGGACGTGGCCTCTTTGGATTGGCTGGCGGTGAACCCTACCATTCTCCTGTTGCCACAAGGAGGCTTGCTGTCAGGTAGGGGTCCAGATGTAGTGATTGGTCTGTCAGTAGAACAAGATGAGGCAATGACCTAGAGTCTCCTCTATGTTTATATAATTATAGAATACCAACGGCAATCAAAGTAGGATTATTTCGAAGACTTAAAATAATTGCGAGCTAGACAGATAATAAACATTGTTTCTTTTGTTTTCCAGATATTTTATCCAGAAACCACAGATGTCTATGATCGGAAAAACATACCAAGGATGATATATTGCATTCATGCACTAAGGTGGGGGAAAAATACAACTAAGAGACTCTCTAAGAAGTACATTTTTAAAAACTACATTTGAACTTTTTATTTGATTCAGTTGTTTTGAATTTGCTGGTACAAAACTAAAATAATTATCACATAAAAGCAGTATTTGTAATTGAAAAATGTTTTTCTGATTCTTTAAAAAGCTAACTCAAAATAGAAAACCAGAAAATTAACAAAAAAACCTTTAAGTGTAATAAAGAGAACTTAAGTTGAAACTTCTATGAATCCAGTTGTAACATAAACCATATTCTTGAGTTATGATCTAGTTTATAAATGGAAATTTATCACATGAACAGCTTTAGAAATCATTATAATCTTGATTTAATGCACTTACAGTTATAATTTTGTTCAGTTCTTACCATATATTAAGAAAATCTAATGTAAGGATGGTTTCTTTTGATGTTTTGTTCAATAGAACTTGTATCCTGAGGATAAAGAGGAAACAGAAGTTGCTTTAAGTTAGTCAAATCAAGACAGTTGTTTTAAAGCAATTGTTTGATAATTTAATTTTTGAAACTGTTGAAATTTTGCTAGTTCAGAGTATATTATATCTCATTGGCCTGGAAGAAATGTGATCATTAGATGGTAAACAAGAAGATTCTAAAAATCCAGTTTGTGGCTATTGTGTGCAACACAGGTAATGGTTCGGAGACTTCATGTCTAATTAAATTTTAAATTACTTTTAGAACATCTGCCTTGCGTTTTTATCACTAGAAGTCATTTTCCTGGCAGAGTTCTCTGCCTCGAGGTTTATGTTAACTTCTTCCTGGCTCTTTTCCTTTCCAAAGGAAAAGGTTTCTATAATAACTCATGGCAATGTTGGCCTTCTAGAGAATAATTTTGATTATGTCATATAATTTGTCTTTTTCCCCTAGTCACTACTTATGAGATTGCTTTGAAAGATGACAGTTGCTAGAAATACAGACCAAATGTAGGTGCCTTTGCTATGATTTTAAAAAAATATTCTAATAACTTAGAACAACTGGTTAAAAAAAAAAAAAAACCAGCAGGTTTTCTTTTTTTTTTTTAAGTGTCTTTTTATTTTTTTTATTTTATTTATTTATTTATTTATTTATTTATTTATTTTTTTTTTTTTTTTGAGACAGAGTCTCACTTTGTTGTCCAGGCTAGAGTGAGTGCCGTGGCGTCAGCCTAGCTCACAGCAACCTCAAACTCCTGGGCTCAAGCGATCCTCCTGCCTCAGCCTCCCGAGTAGCTGGGACTACAGGCATGCGCCACCATGCCCGGCTAATTTTTTTTATATATATCAGTTGGCCAATTAATTTCTTTCTATTTATAGTAGAGACGGGGTCTCGCTCTTGCTCAGGCTGGTTTTGAACTCCTGACCTTGAGCAATCCGCCCGCCTCGGCCTCCCAAGAGCTAGGATTACAGGCGTGAGCCACAGCGCCCGGCCTTAAGTGTCTTTTTAATTGAAAAGCTAGCAAACTGTCCAGTTATATTTCTCTCAAAAAAACACAAACTGGGTAGTAACTGAGTCCCTAGACAACATATTCAAAGCTACGAGAATGTAGAATAATTTTTAGAGAAGTCCTTAGATCCAATTAAGGGAGCCCTGTGACATATAGGCTAATCAATACCAGTGGCTCTCCTCGACTCTAGGAGGCTGGAAGGAGTCCTAATACCCCCACTCAGCACATTTGCTTCAATTAGCCTTTCTCCAGTTTCCAATTCACGATAATATTTTGTTAATTCTACTTCAGAAAACTTTATGCAAGTTGTTTTATGTGTAATGCCAACTTTTAAAAAGTCACTAAAGCTAACTAGACAATAAACTAGGCAGAAATCACTTTACAAAAAAAGAGGAAAAGCCCAAAATGCTGCTTTCTATAGAGAACCCACAGTTTGATTTTATTCAGAGCAAAGAAAAAAGAAACTTTCGATCATACTAGAAGAAAGTCAGCAGCAGTAGGTTTGGAATCTGCACTCAAACTACACATGCAGTGAGGATGATATTCTGCTAATATAATGGATTTGCTGTCTTCTGTTTGTCCAGTGTTAACAATTATAAACAGAGTAGTGTAACTAGTATTTGGAACAATCCTTAGTGTTATAGTGTCAGGCACAACATTTCACTTCTCTTCACGCCACTACTTCTCTTGGCATACCTGGGCTTCTTCCTCTTCAGCAAAGTCATTTTGGCTATGGAAGGTCTTGAGAATCTCCCTAGGTGTTTTCCCCTTGATCATATTGGCAACAGTCTTGCAGGTAACATCTAGCAAAACATTTGATGTCTAAATAGTTTGCAGCCAGAATAAGTTCAAAGCATGTTTCTTGGTCAACTTTCAGGAATTCTTGGTCCCTAACAGGGGTATGGTCTGTTATCTTTTCTTTGTTCTCCTCATCCTCCTCATCCTTGGGAGAATGGAGGGTCATCCTTGTCGTGGGTGCACCACTGACCCAACTTTTTTAATATTGTTGGCTAACATTTGTTAGAGGAACTGGATCATCATCTCCTTCATCCATTCCCAAATCTTCCAACGTGGTCTTGATTGTCCCAGATTGACAATTTCCACATCACTTCCAAATATCTCTCCATCAAAACTCTGCAACTCAATGGAAGGCATAGTGTTCAGTCTCAAAGAGACAGCTGGCCAGAGACTAACCAGAGCTGGGCAGTATCAGCACAAGAAGAGAGAGGCAGAGGGCAAGAACACTCTGCCAGCATGTTTTCTAAAAGCTTCTTGTGCAAAAGTGTTTATTTTGAGGACTATTTTCAACAGCGTTGCCCAATAATCTTTATCAGATTATTTTTTCAGAGCCTAGAATGATCCCTTAACACTGTAGTTCATACTGGTTTTGTGACCTGCTAAGCCGGCCGCCGTTAATTAATATCATTATCATATCCATGCATCTAGTGCTAATCTCCAAATCTGTAGCATGCCCATGGAGTGTCTTGTGTAAGCTGAAATTGATTTCCCTATGTGGACACCAGGGACGTTCATGTTAATAAGCAGCTTATGAACAAATGGTATGTGTTGAGTTCCTTTCTGGTGGTATCACTGTTCTTTTGAAGGAGTGACATAGAGCTGCACTGAGGCTTACAAATGTCTGTTTGCCATGGTTTTAACAATGGCTTGAACAGCTTGATAAACAAGACTGAAACTTTTTGCTTATTGCTGTGTGCAAATGTTAATGTCATAGGAAGTTTCTGGGGCTGCGTTTCTCAGTCATTCAGTGACTCATTGTGCATGGATGTCTCCATTCCTTTTACTCATCCTAGAGGGGATTCCCCTTGGATCATGTCGCTCACCAGATCTGACCCTAAGTAAGACCTTTTATCCTTCAAAGCAATATTATTTATTAATAGTAAGCATCACTCCCTGGGGGACTCTCCTTCACTCTTCTTTACTCTAAATTACAGTATGGAACTGAGAAGTCCCAAGTGTATCTGAGGTTTTTTCTATCATGCCTTTTTCCTGCTGTGATTTAGAATGCCATCAGTCACTCAAATGAGGCTAATAATTCTACTCTGTTGGGCAAGACACGATTGGAAGCTGGGTAGCAATCCTTTAATACGTACAGTGGGTTTGCCCTTGCTGCATAGTTAGAAGTGATGCTGGAAATGAACAATCATGTCTTTAGCTTTTGTATTCTGGTGGCGAATACAGCAGCATTGCTGATATAGAGAATTTTCAGTACCTGGTAGAGAATTAGGCAGGTCAGAGATTCTGATTGTAGCTCAGGAGCCAGGAGGGGAGTTTCCTCCAGGCAGTTCAGCTGGCCAGGCACTGCATTCTTCCTGCCCCAGCCTGTGGGCCTGACTTGATAGCCACAGATTTAGTTCTTAGCCCTCACCAAATGTGTCTCCTGTTCCCTGTTGTCTTGATTGGGCCTAACACCCTGAGATTCCCTGGCTTCTTGCCCTTGCTTCCTGTTTGTCTCTGCTTTTCCCATTTCTGGCCTGCCCTTCACCTTGTCATTTTATTTCTGACCCTACTTTCATTACCCACCACTCACTGATCTTTTTGTCAGTTTAGCTTGGCATTCTCAAGCCCAAAATGCCAGTGACTATCGTCACAATAGCTCCAGGAGAAATTCCCAAACTTTGCCAGTGTAGACAGACTCACCTGAGTGATAGGTGGCATCATTCATTTTCTAAAGAAATGTTTGTTTTTGTTAATAAAATGTTTATGTTTTTGTTAATAAAAAAAACAAGATATACTCATTGTGCAGAACATAGGGAAATTCAAAAAGAATGTCAAAGGAAAAGCTAAAATACCTGCTATCTTAACACCAAGTGAAAACCATGATAAATAATTTGGTGTTTATGGACTTAATGTGTGTATAGTATGTGGCATATTTTCCTTTTGTGGCTGCTTTTGGAATGTTATAAAAGCCTGTGCAATGAAAGGCCACCAGTTCAAGAAGTGAGAGCCTTGCTCACTAGTTACTTCACTGGTTTTTTTTTTAAATGTCCAGAGGCCTTTTATGCATGGAGAAGAATACTTTTTGCCTGTGTAGTACCTGATTTATTAAAGATTTATAATAAATTATATTAAACTCCTGTGAAGTGTTTAAATGTTAGTTATAAAATTGAATTCATTTAAACAGTTTACTCAATTAAATTTGGAACTGATTTTTTGAATCCTTCACTAACCTTAAAGAGCAGGTGAAATGCCCAAATGTATTATTATAAACTTGCCACACTGAAACCTGTTCTGAATGATCCATACTACAGGTTACTCATTTTTTTCATTATTTATACACTAATTTTGACTCATCCTAGGGCTATTATATTTTTTTGATGGCTCTAGAAACAAAAGAATGCCCCTTCAAACCTGCCAAGATTACAGATCTGGTTTCCAATGGACCAGCTGTGGGTCAGAACATGGCCCCACTTGGGGTTTGTCTCCCAAGATGAGTCAGAACCTGGCCATTAGACATCAGGCTGAATTTTTGGGTTTTTTTTTTTGTTTTTTGAATAAAGAAGACCATTTTTATTTTTAAGTAC